AAGATCAGGGTCAGGGTCACACAGACCACAAGAATTTTTGTGCCTAAATTAAACTGCTTGCCATAGGGCTGAAAATAGACACAGGGGTGCCGGAATCCCAGACAGGAGGTTTTCCTTCTCTCTCGCTGTTTACCTGCCTAGGACCGAAGTGAATCCAAAAGTGCAACTGCACGAGCAACGGAGGGAGGGAAACAGATCAAATGCTGCAGAAAGCTCCATCTGAAACCGTCCGCGCAGAACTGTCTATGAACAGTGGGTTAAGGACATTATCTGAATTAAATATCACTGAGATGCAAGGGGTGCGCCTGTCTCCCTTCACCCCACCCTCCACACTATGCTTGCTGAGAGTGAACCTCGAATAGCTGTTTATAGCAATGGAACTCCAGCCCACTTGATTAATTTACAGTTCGATGTGATGTGCAAATACACAAAAGAGGTTAACCGAGGTTAAGTATCTCGTGCAAAGCAGTCCAAGGTTTTGCAACGGCTGAGGTTTCGTGGGTGGCCCCCGTGCAACCGAGTCCAAGAAAGGCGCAGAAGGACCGCCCTCCACCCTTCAATGGGTTCACACAGCGTGAACCATTTGATGGCATGGAGCCCCCATCATCCTGGCCTGCTTAATCACAATTCCTTGAACAGGCCACAGTAGGTTAAGCCAGAGGCATTTACTGTGAGCAAATGTAAGAGGGTGGTTCTGTAATTTTGGGATTGCGCAGATGCCAAGCTGGGTTGCCCGCCACCAGCCACTAGTCCAAGCATTGTATACAGGTAGTTTGGAAAGGTTGGATAGGCAAACCTCGTTGCCCTGCAGCCCAAACTGGATTGCTATCAGAATTCACTCTGGCACGTCCTAGACAAGCGGGCACAAAAGCCAGGTTTTCTACATTTCTCTCTCTAGATCTCTCTCTCCCTCTTTCTTTCTTTCACCTTCAAGTCAGTGATGACTCCTGGCGATTGCCCGGACAAGTCCCTCCTGCAGTTTTCTTGGCAAGGTTTTTCAGAGGTGGTTTGCCAGTGACTCCTTCCCAGGGCTGAGAGAGAGGGACTGGCCCAAGGTCCCCCAGCTGGCTTTGTGCCCAAGGCAGGAAGAACTCACGGTCTACCCCTTTCTAGGCTGGTGCCTTCACCAGGACACCCAACTGGTTCACGCTTGTCACTACAGAAGCAGCTATTAATCCAAAGTACAGGTGGGACGAGAAATGAGAATACCTCTTTTAAAAATAGATACCAAGAACTATTATTATTATTATAATTAGTTTTCTTCCAAGGGAAAGGTCTGACTTTTATAAAGCCATCATCCCGTTGATGGATGGATGAAACGCAATTATCAGCAGAGGTAGATGACCTTCTGGCCCAACCCTCCTCCCCACTGCAACGGGGAGTGCCACTCCTGGGGGGGCGCACCGGGAACCCGCGGGCCAGCGCGCTTCCGGCCGGCGAGCCGCCCCGCTCCCCGAAGCGCGCCCGGAGGCCCTGCCGCGACTCCTTCGGGCCGCCCGCTGGAGGGAAGCGCGGGTGCGGGAGCGAAAGCGAAAGCGAAAGCGA